GTTTTTACTTGCATTTTAACTCTTTGGTCTGGGATATTGGTCTAAAGATTGAAACATTAGCATTACTTGTTCATATGTAAATTATAAATTAATATTGATATGTAGCATAACTCAAAATAAATCTGATTTGTTGATATTTTAAATAATATATATATATATATAAATAAAGCTTTCTATAATATTAAAACCAAGAAATGTACTAGCAAATTACTTTACACATTTTTCCAATCTTTTGTTGTATAACTGTTGCCAGATCGCGTGAGAGTGAAAACCTGGAAACCGATTTAATGATTTACTATGATCGGTTTCCAGGTTTTCGCTCTCGCGCACTCAAATACATAACAAACCTTTATGTAATTACTCTTGGTTTCCATCTACTATCTACTAGAATTTATATGTTTTATAAAAAATAATTTTATTTTTTACTTAAACGTATATACATATTGTCCCCAGGTGTCAATTTGTTCCCAGATGTCAATTGGCCTTAATTACCAGCCTAAACAAATTAATTTAAATCTCAATTGTCAATTGGGACAAATAATCACTTCACCGACAATTAAATTTATAGAGTTCATTTCACATTCGACAGCTTATTTCACTAACAAGTTTTTTTTAAAAAAAAAAAAAGAACTAACCTTAATTTTTAATTCTAAACCTGACCCTAAACGGCAATTGACCAGAATTATTTTGTCCGGTGAAATGAATTGTCAGTAAAATAAACTTGTCAATAAATTAATTGTTGGTGAACTTGTCGGTGAAATGATTTGATCATATTAAGTATATATTCTTTTATAAAGAACAATTATATATATATCCTACAGTATACGTGTTGTAAGTGGTTAGAACAGAATAATTATTCGTACTAAAAATCCCAACCCTAACCTTAAAAATTCCGAATCAACTTAAATTCTGTCCCTACCTACGACATATGTTATATAATATTATAAATTATATACGTATAGATTTATATCAATTTGAGATTTGTAAAAAAAACCTGTAAATTGATAACAATAAGTTGATAATCGTTCATTTTATCAGACTCAGCCTCCATTAAATTGATCATTAACGTTAAATGTGATCAAATGTGATCAAATATGTGTAAAGCTTAATCATTTTAATCGCTTCGATAAAATGTGCTTTTGGTCATCAAAAACAAGAGAAATTTTATATCTTTAAAAAAGAAGGGATAATCGTGTGTTCTAGAACTAATTGGTTTCTTCAGAGCAAAATTCGATAAGGCGAAAGATGAATTAATTTACATGTTTTTCATCACTTATTGATATTATTAATACTATGGTTTTTAATATTTTTCGATACCAGTATCGAAAATAATTTATAATTAAATTTTTATGATAGGTCCGTTTTTTAAAATTTTACATGAAAAAAACACATCGATATTAACCAATCAAATTGCTGTATTAGTTTTTAAAATGTTATATTTTTACTGCCAATAGAATTCCTATATTTTTTATTGATTTGCTTTTCACCCACTCTTTTGAGTTATTTTAAACAAAGAATCAATTTGTTTGGCATCATATGAAGCCAATGGTTTAATTTTTGATGTGTAGAGTTATTTTAATTTTTGATGTGTAGAGTTATTTTAACGTTAATGTTGATTATAACGATAAGATCTCGATGTTATGTTACTATCACTATATGTCACTCATTAGCGTACATTAGCCCCTTGTTAAAAGAATTTCCCAATTCTTTTTTTTTTTGTTAAATACAAGAATAATTCATAGTAATACGTAGTAGAACTTTATAAATTTTCTACATATACTCATTAAAAAATTTGTCATGAAAATGTTAATGATCTAATAACATTGTTTAATTTGGTATATAAAATTTATTAAAAAAAAAAAAAAAAAAAATCAAAAAAAATCACAAATCTATGTAAATCCAACAAAACTATAACAAATCTTGCATTTCAGCCATGAATTTATCATATTCATCAACTTTCTTTTTAGTCTTTGCTTTCTTTGCTGGTGATGATGTACTTGCAACGGGTTGTTTTTGTTCGGATGGTTGAACATCATAATCTGTTTGTTGTTGTAATAATGGAATTGCTATTGAAGCATTTCTTTTTACTGATGAAGTAGATGTTCCTATACCATCATCAATATTAGGTGCAGCATTTACGACAGGCCGTGCTACTTTTGGTTTACGAGCATCTGCTTTCTTTCTTAGCAGTGCAGCAGGAACAAGTGTAGTTAACTCTTTTTGAAGATTACGAACTTGGGGTTCTGCTTGAATAACCGGTGTAGCCGCCGTGGTAGATTTAAGTAATGATGCATTCATTGGTTGACTCTTGTCATTGACGATGGGTTGTGGAAATGCTCTTTGGGAAGAACCATAAGAATCTAATGAATCAATACTGTAATTGTTTTTCATATGATCTCTTATCACCTTATTTACACCTTGTACTGGTGGTGGTGGTGGCGGTGGACCATAATGTGAAACTTGTGAACTAAAAGGTGGCGGTCGAGGATCTAATGGTCTCAAAGGAGCTCCTTGCCCTGGCATCACATGAATTGGCGGTTGTCGAGAAAATATATTACCTAAATATATATATATATATTTTTTTATTTTTGTTAGTTTGCTTAAACTTTCAAGTAATGGAAGCATTTTACGATTACAATTTACCTACCAGTTCCGGATGGGAACACTGGCGGTGGTGGTGGTCTGATATTAGGCCTTAAATGATTAGATGTCCCAGGAGGATTATTGAACATCATATAAGTACTTTGTGGAGGTGGATATTGTGGACCTGCAGGCATACTCGGTGATCTAAATCCGAAGGGTGGTGATCTAGATATTCCCGAAGGTTGTGCATTTCCATCATTATTTTGTAATGAAGGTGGCGGACCAGGTGGTAATTCTGGTAAATCATCATCTGAATCATCATGTTTTGGAGGTGTTCCAGGTGGTAGTTCTGGTAAATCGTTATCTGATTCATTTGAGGGAGGTTTACCAGGAGGAAGTGGAATATCTTCATCAGATTCTTGTTTATTTCCTAATAAATATAAATGTATAAATAATTATATATTATTAAGAACTAAATTAATCGAATGAATTTTAAACAGATTATAAAAGTTGTAAAAATTATAAAAAAAAAATTATGCATACGCTTTTCGGATCCTTCAGATGCTTTATCATCATCATCCGAATATCCATCGTCACTGTCTTCATTTGCAGAACTTTCATCATCATCTTGTGCTGTAATAACGTAATTAGTATGTGAATAAATTGGATAAATAATTCTAATACAAGTAATACTATTACTAATTTTTGACGAATAT